AAGGCTGTATTCTTTGATCTTCTACAACAAGTGCTTCAAGTCCTCCTCACTTTCAGCAAGCAAGGTTGTGTCATCTACATAATATAGGTTATTGATGTGTCTCCTTCCGATCCTGATGACACATTCCTCTTCATAGAGTCCCGCTTCTTGAATAATTTGCTCAGCATTCAGAGTGAATACACATGGAGAGAGACTACAGCTCTGACCCACTCCTTAATTTTAAACCATGTAGTGGGAGTTCTGGTGACCTAGTGACAAGAAGCTGCACTGCAATCCTGAAGGCACGTGGTTGAAGGTCCCCAGCTGCTCTGCAGTAGGATGGGTAATCTCCTCCCATGTGATGAACTATCTCTGAAAACACACTGGAGGGTCAGCTATGGGTCGATTCTGACTCTATGGTACACCACAAGTGTTGCCTTGCTTTGTTTGCACAACAGCCTCCTGGTCAGGTACAGATTAGGATTAGGGCTTAGGGTTACTCTCCTAATAAAAACCATAATCATGAGGTCAGTGAATTCTGTGTGGCCACTGCAGTGGATTGCTGGATGCTGCAGTAGAGGTGTAAGAGCCTTGGAGTAACAGCTGGTATTAGAAGTGTCAGAAGTAGGTGAAAGCAGGAGGTAATGTCTTGCCTCAGAGGAACCAGTTTTGTGCCAGTGTTGTTGATGGGGACTAATTCTTTCCCTTTGTTGAGAGAGTGGAAATCGCGTACCACCACGCCCAAATTAAGACACAATGCTTTTTTCAGTGCAAAATACCATCCAATAATTCAATCTCATAAATCAGGAAACCTCTCCACTTTCTTAGTATTGTTATTTTTGGTTTTTCTGCCATTTAAAATTAAATATAACCCTAAATGGTACATCCAATTAACATTTTCCAATCCTTAATGTCTTTACAGCATTTGAAAGTTAAATCCTGGAATGTATTCTGCAATATGCATACTCTTGGTCCTTTTTCTTTTTGATACCGTGTCTTAGTTTTCTTCTTTCTAAGAGCTTTTACTAGCTACTCTTCAGCATGCCTTTAAATTCTGATGTTATCCAGATGTACAAAGTCTTTTACCCTTTGTAAATATTCTTCAGAGTTGATACAATCATACAATCATGGCCATGACTACAATTACCCTGTCCTTGGAGAGGGACATCATGCTTGGGAGGGTGGAGGGACGGCACAGGAGGGGAAGGCCCTCTATGAGGCAGATTGATTCAGGGACTGGGATAATTGGGATGGGAGTGTCGGAGACAGTGCGATTGACACAGGACAGAGCAGAGTTTAGGGCTGTTGTACATAGGGTCGCTATGAGTCGCAAGCGACTCGATGGCACATAGCAACAACAACAAGTCAAACTCTGAAATCTATATTAGTTTTCTGATCCAGACATACAAGGCAGCTGTCTATGGGACAATTCAACTTGGACATCTGCTAGATATTTCAGACTTCATGTAGTCTAAACTCAATTATCATCAGTTTCTAAATCTACTCCTGCCTTTGTTATTTCCATGAATGACACCATCTGTCTAGCGACTTAAGTCATAAACACAGCACAAGGTCCTTGTTTATGTTCTATATCCTGCCAATTCTAGCTTTCAAATGAAATTCTCACAGCTCCATAGAGCTGTTAAAATGAACTACCAATATCTTTCACCTGGTCTACTGCCAATACTCTCTTAAATTGGTATCCATGCCTCTAGTTTGTGCCCCTGCCAGAGTTCATCTCCCACACTGCTATGAGAGTAATTTTATTAAAAAAAAATAAGAATCTAGCCTTTTCTTATTTAAATAGCACTTCTCATTGAAGGATAAATTATTTACTATGTCTTAAAAAATCATCCACAGTCTTACTTTCTCTACTACCAACTTAGCCTTCTATCACTCTTGTTAATAAACTATACATTCTCTCAGGGTATAAGGAGTAAGGAGTAGTAAGGAGTTGTGCTGTGCTACCAGACCAAAGGTAAAAAATTCAAATCCTCCAGTGGCTCCATGGAGAAAATGGGTAATCTCCTCCCATGTGATTTACAACCTCAAAAAACCTGCTTGAAGGTCAGCTTTAAGTCAGTTCTGACTATGATAATGAGGGTTTTTTTGAGATGTATGTTTTTATATTTGGACTCTCTCAGTATCTCCTATGTGGGAAATATTCCATATATTTTACTTGGCTAATTTCAGTTAGGGAGCTCTGGTGGCCTAAGAGCTGCACTGTAATCCCAAAGGCACATGGTTTGAGTCAATAATCTCCTGAGATCAACTGCCTTTGAAAACCAACTGGAGGGTCAGGTATGGATCAGTTCCAACTTGATGGCATACAATTACATTTTAAATTCAGGGAGTGCTCGTGACCTGGTGTGTAGGGTGTTGTGCTGCTAAATCATGGGCCTTGTTTCTGATTTACAGCCTTGGAGACCCAGTGGAGGAACAGCTATTAGTTGGTTCCCACTCAGTGTAATGGTATTGAAGAGAATTTCAATTCTTATTTCACCTCAACATCTCAAGTTAAACCCACTTGTTTTAGGAAGCATTTTCGGATCCCAAGAATTAGCCTACATCCCCTTTCTGTTTCCAGTAACACAATTAAAATTGTTTTTCCTTGCTAAATTAAAGCAATTGAAGACAGCAAGTAAATACAGCTTATTCACAGTCTATTCCATTCACCCCATAATGCATCTTGCATATAACAAGAATCATCATTTGTTAAATAAAAAGACTTTCTTGAAGCTTAGCAGCAACCTAATAAGCTATCGCACATAGGTTCCAAGTCCAGTTGATTGTAAGAGAAATTTATTCATAACATTATTGTCTACATCTACATTTTCCTCTTAACATTAGCAAGTAACTCGTTCCTAATATTTTTAAATATTAATTTAAATATTTTTGAAAATATTTTATCTGACCTGTAAGTATAAGAAGAACACCTCACATTATACTTAAAGGTTTGGATAAAACAAAATAATATGTGCTCTGGAAGCCCGAGTGCTAAACTTTCCTAGTAAAGAGTGCTGTCAAGTATGACTCATAGGGCCCCGATTAACAGCCGTCTTGAATCCTGACCTATCCTGTGCCATCTTCACCATCTCCAAAACACTCAAATTTACAGCTGAAGTCAATATGTCAATCCATCTCATCCAGAAGTTTTCCTTTCCTTCACTGACCCCCGCCCCCACCTTTCCAAGCAAGATATCCCTCGTCAATGAACAGCCTCACCTAACTACATCACCAAAGCATGAAAGACGGAGCTTCACATTCTTTGCTTCCAGGAGAACTCTGGTTGCACCCTCTCTAACATCTTTGTTCTCTTGGCAGTCCATGAGATATTCAGTACTCTTCTCTAGCACTACAACCCAAAGGCATCAATTCTTACTGTCAAGAACTCTCAAATTCATTGCTGTCTAGTTGGAACTTACAGAAGGCTGGTTGCTCATCTTTCTGCCCTGGAGTCACTGGTAGACTTGAATTGACAGAGAGGCACACTATTAGCAGCACAACTCCCTGTGGACTGTACCACTGGAATTCCCCAGGGTTATCCTATTTGATCTAAATCATAAAAAACAGCACCTTTAAAAAATCTTAAATAGCCTCCTTAAATTAAAAACAATTTTGCTAGACAGACTTCAGCAGTCAAACTACATAGTATTAAAATTCTTCTAAGAGTGCTAAAATTAACACCTTCTGAAATATGCGAAGCCCAAGCTGGCCATGACCAGAACAATCTCAGTTCTGTGTGATTTTAACTTAATCATGATTAGTGCCTCTCTTCTTACTCAGATCTTCCACTACAGAAGATATGGCCACACAGCCAAGTAGCATTCTATAATAATTAATTTAAATTGAAGTTAAGCAGAGTATCAGAGGAATGTCTGTGTTTCATTGACTATGCAAAGGCATTTGACTGAGTGGATCACAGCGAATTGTGGCTAATCTTGAGAACACCACCACCTGCCTGTGCCCCTGACAAACCTATACTCGAGCCAGGAGGTAGTCATCAGAACAAAGCAAAGAAACACTGCATTGTCCAAAATCAGAAAAGGGTGTGTCAGGGATGTGTCCTGTCTCCATATCTTTTCAATCTGTATGCAGAACAGATCATTTGAGAGACTGGATATTATGAGGAAGAATGCAGCATTATGATTGGAGGAAGACTCATCAACAACCTGTGTCACACAGGATGACACAACCTTACTTGCTGAAAGTAAGAAGGGCCTGAAATATTTGTTGCAGAGGGTCAAGGACTATAGTTTGCAATATGGATTGAAGCTCAACATTCAAGAAAACAAAGATTCTCACCAATGGACCAATTGGTAGCATCATGATAGATGGAGAACGATTAAGATTGTTAACAATTTCATCTTGGCTGGTTCTACACTCTTAACATTCTTGGCACCAACAGTCAGGATATCAAAAGACAAATTACATTAGGTAAATCTGCTGTCAGGGACCTCTCCAGAATGTTAAGGAGCAAGGATGTCAGTCTAGAGATTAAGGTGCACCTGATCCAGGCCATGGTCTTCAGAATTACTTGCTTTGTATCAGAGAGCTGAACAATGATCAAAGATGACAGTAAAATTGGTGTCTTTGAGATGTGGTGTTGAGGAAGAGTAATGAACATGCCATGGACTGCCAAGAGAACTAACAGATCTGTCTTGGAGAGGATGAAATCAAACTGCTCCTTGGAGGCAAGGATTTTAAGACTCTATCTCACATACTTTGGACATGTAGCCAGGAAGAACAAGCTTTGAAAAAGGATATCATGCTTGGAAGGGTCAAGGCACAGCACAAGAGAGGAAGACCCCAGATGACTGGCACAATAACCGGGGTAATGAAGGTAATTGTGTCAGAGACAGTGAGATTAGCTCCAGATAGATCAGAGTTTAGAGCTATTCTGCATAACGGTCACTAGGAGTTATAGTCGACTCAGTGGCACATAACAACAAATCGAATTTATAAATTCCAAAAAATAATGGTAAAAACTACTAAAGTTTCATATTAAAAAATATAAATACCTGAATTTTTATGGCACTATCCTTAATTTTCTGAAACTTCTGTCTTTGTAGAAAGCCTCTCACTCTTGCTTGAATAATGATAACACTGATTCTGATTTGCAAATAAACTTGTCTTTGATGTCGGGCACACAAAAACGCTCGGTAATAATGCTGTAAAACCAATGCTGCTTTTCTATACAACAAAAACCGTTTTCTGGCTTGCCATGTCCTGAAATACTGCTGTAAAGTAATAACAGCTCTTTTTTGCTGATAAAATCTTCTCTGGTACACAGCCATGTGAAGGAAGGACTGGATGCGTAGGGCAGCACACTTCTGTCTTTCCAGTTTTCTTCTAACCATTTTACGAAATGCTCTTTGAATCGTCACCGCTGCCTTTCTCTGAGAAAGATATTCAGCTTTCTGTGAACGAGCAATCAGAGCAGCTTTATACCATGTTTGAATCCTGACTGCAGCATGTTGAGCAGCTTCATAGTGCGTCTTAGTTTTATAACAGTGGAATGCAGATTGGGGAACAATGGCTGCGGTCTCTTTCTCAGACAGGTGTTTTGATTTCTGTTGAACTTTCATGCCTCTGAAAGCAGCCTGAATGGTTCGTGCAGATTGCAGGAGTGCTAAAAATCTGCTTCTTTCAGATTTCATTCTGATATATGACCTATAATAGTTCTGTATAATGATAACTGCAGTTTTCCTTGCATTGTAAACCGTTCTAGCCCTGTGCATTCGGTAGAATGACTGAATTTGTGTGGCAGCCAGGTGCATTTTCTGGACATCTCCTTGTACCTCAAAGGCTCTATAACAAAACTGTGCACATATAACTGATTGAGTACGCATTTGCACTGCCATGTGTGCCCTGTATCTTCTTTGAGCAAAAACTGCTGCTTCTCTAAGCTGGAGATAATACCTTCTTTCTTTAAAGGCTTTAAAATACTTCTGAATAACAGTGGCAGCCTGATGTTCTCTCTGAATTTGCTTTCCAAAGTTCATGCCCTGAAGAACTTCCTGACTACAAGTTGTTTCTTTCATGACCACAGATGCCTGAAGAGCTTTGTTTTTGTTTTTATTTGCTCTGTATCTTCCTTGTGTTACTTTGGTAGCCCACTGAACCCTTTGGTAGAAAGAATACTGTCTATACATTCTATATGTGCTTTGTATGATAACAGCAGCTCTGTGCTCTTCCCATAAGAGCTGACTTGCTTTCATTCCCTCATATGCTGTATGAATGGCCACCGCAGAATTCTGTTGTCTGATAGAGTTTTCTCTTGATAATTTTGCAGCTCTGTAAGCACGGTAATGTTGCTGAATTAGAACTGAGGCACGTTTATAAGTCTGATACCTCACATACATCCTGTGCATTCTGAAAGTAGCCTGAATGAGTGCTGCAGCCCTGTGCATGTCCTGCTTCTCTTTCTTTACCATCAACCTTCTATTCAAGGACTGGGTTTTAATGGCATCCTTTTCTAGAAACTGTTGTGAACTGTGCCTTGCACGCACATTTGTGCGATATCTTCTCTGAACCCAAATAGCTGTTTTCTTCAGAGATAGGAATCTCCTCCTCATCATTAGAGTTCTGAACTTTCTCTGGATAAGAGTTGCTGCTAAATGTCTAATTTTTAAATCTCTCCTAGCTTTCATTCCCCTAAAAGCGGCTTGAATGCATATTGTTGAATGCTTCAATTTGTTATACCTTTCAAATTGTACATTTCTTGCCTTTACTGCCCGGTATCTGTTCTGTACTGTTTTTGTTATTTTCTTTAACTCACTGAAATACTTTTGCTCCCTGTACCTTCTATATTGTGTCTGAATGAGTGTTGCTGCAGTGTGCATCTTTCTTAGGGTCTGCCTGACTTTTAAACCTCTAAACCTTGCCTGAATAATATTAACAGCTCTCAAAATGGACAAGTATTTCGCACGCTGTATTTTACCTTGACAGTATGCTCTATATTTTACTTGAATTACAATAGCAGCTCTTCTCATTGCATGGTATCTTACTTTTGACTGGCGCATTTTAAACATGGCTTTCATAAAAGTGGCTGCCATGTGCATATGCTGAATGTGCCTTCTTACTCTGGCACCTCTATAAACAGCTTGAATCTTAATTGCTGCATTCTTTAACTTACAATAGTCCCTATATTGTTGTTTTGCAATCTTACTAGCTCGATACCATCTCTGAATTGTAATAGCTGACGCTCTCTGTGATGCATAGGTCTTTTGGGCTTTATATGCTTTATATTTAGATTGTATAGTGACTGCAGCTTTATTGTTCTCTCTTAATTTTTTTCTCACTTTTACACCCCGGTAAACTGACTGTAAAGTGACTATAGCCACTTTTGTTTTCAAATACAAATGACGCTGCTTGTGGCCAATCCTGTAAGCCCTATATTCCATTTGAATCAGAAGCACAGCTTTTTTAATGGCTCTCCATTTCTTTTGTTGTACATGCATCCTATAGTGTGACTGGATTGTAACTGCACATTTGTGTTGCCTTTGAATCTGTCTTCTTACTCTTCTTCCCTTCCATGCAGCTTGAAGCATTAGTGTGGCACGACGGAGTTCAATGTACTCCATTCGTTGCTTTTTTCCTGTAGTTATTGCTCTCAGGTGTTGCTGGATCACTAATGCTGCTCTTTTTAATGACCGAAACTGTTTCTGGGCCTGGCTCTTTCTAAAAGCAGACTGAATCTTCACTGCAGCATTATGTTCTCTTCTGATCTGTCTCCGAACTGTCCAACCACGATAAATGGATTGGAGAAGGATTACAGCTGCTCGAGTCTTTAGAAAAAGTGTTCTTGCATTATAAACAGGTTTGTATATCCTGTACCATCTCTGAATTTTGATAGTTGACTGAAGCACAGATTGATATTTCATTCTTTTACTATAGCCTCTAAAAGCAGTCTGAATTTTAAGAGCAGCTGTGGATTGTTGTTTGATTAGCTGGCGTACTTTATAACCTCTGTAGGCTGCTTGTAAACAGGTAGCTGCTTTTTTGACTTGCAAGAAGTGTTTCCTCTGATTGACTTGTGCTTTGTTTGCATGATAATAATTCTGAATGACAAGAGTTGCTTTATAAATTTTCAGGTAGTTTTGCCGGATCTTCCTCATCCTGAAATAAGACTGTAATGAAATGGCAGCTCTCCTTTGCAACTTTATCTGCTTTCGCACCAGATAGCCTCTCACATAAGCTTGTAGTCTGACACAAGATTTCTGCAGCTGCAAATATTCTTCTCGCTTTACCGCAGCAAGTTTTTTGGAACGGTACCTGTGCTGGATACACAGTGCTGCTTCTTTTAACTTTAGAAAGTATCTGCGTGTTTGTTTCATTTTGACAATTGATTGTAATTTTATTGCTGCATTTTTTAGAGTCATAAAATTTTTATGGGCAATATAAGCCCGGTAATAGGACTGTATCTTTACAACAGCTGTTAGGATACGTATAAACTTTTTCCTAGCTTGCATCCCTCGATATGCAGACTGAAGAACAATAACAGCAGAACGTGCTTTCTGGTAAGAAGCTAGGATCTTCTTGGCCGAGATGTAAGCTCGGAAATGAGCCTGAATTATAAGGGCAGCTTTCCTCATTTTGTGGTATCTCTGTAGTTGTTGATATTTTCTTATGTGTGCCTGCAATTTGATCACCATCTTCTTGAGGTTTGCAAAGCGAAGTTGTTCTCTTTTCATTCTCCAGTAAGACTGTAAAACACAAGCAGCTCTATTCTGTCTCTGTTGATCCCTCGCTTTCATTCTTCTAAAAGCAACTTGCAGCTGAATGGCTGCAGCTCGTTTCTGCAAATACTGGGTACGTTCATTTTTTCCTTTTAGGTATGCTCTGTAGTACTTTTGGATAGTAAGAATTGACTCTTTCTTTTTCTTATATAACTTTTGGATTTGAAAGCACCTAAATCTTCTCTGAATGAGCACAACACAAGATCTAATATGAGTATAATTCCTTAATTCTTTGTGCATTCTATACCATGACTGAATGACAATAGCAGATTTTTCTTCTTTAGCTCTTTTCCTGGCTTGCCATTCCCTGAAGGTTCTTTGCAGAATGACTGCAGCTTTTGTTTGTAATTGTATTTTCTGTTGCCTCCATCTTCTGAACATTAACTGGATTTTAAGAGTTGATGATTTCAGCATTTTGTATCTTTGTTGATCTTGTTTTCTCCTGAAATTAGCACGCCAATGCCTCTGAATTACAAGTGTTGCCCACCGGTATCTTTTGTAAGAAGTAACAGCAATAATCATTCTTATCCTAGATTGCAGGATGATTGAATAATGTTTCAATTTCAGAAATCTTTTTCTAGTAGAGTATCTTCTCCAATACCCCTGAGAAAGATAAGAAAAAGAAAAATGTAAGACAGATAAAGCATTCTAAAAATAATGTATTTTTAAGTAACAATTTTTCTACACTCCTTCTTAAAAACCAGCACAAGGTATTATAAACTCAGCATATGTTTTTGCCAGCAATTGCTTATTTCTTTTGTTTGTAGTCTAGTTTGTACACTGATGTGGTCAGTTCAGAAATACTTGTCACACTTTTTAATTTATATTCAGATTCCATAAGAAATAAAAGCAAGATTATTTTATACCAGGATCAAAAGAGAAAAATACAACCTATTTTTTGCTACCTACTATTTACTACAAATTCATGTCTGATTCTTGTATTTCCCCTTTTATTCAAGGGTATAGGCCATATTATAGTTACTGTTTTTAGGTACTGTCAAGTCAAATACAACTCATACTGACCCTATAAACAAAAGATCTGGACTCTGTTCTATCTTGTGCCCTCCTCGCACTTCCTGACTCACATATGAGAGCTGTAATATAAATAAGGATGCCAGAAAAGAATTGATGTCTTTGAGCTATTGTGTTGGAGAAGAGCACTGAACATCCCATAGATGGTCAAGAGAACAAAAAGATATGTCTTGGAGAAGGTGCAGCTGGAGTGCTCTTTGGAGGCAAAAATGATGAAGCTTTGCCTCACATACATTGGACATGTTGCTAGGAGAGGCTATTCCTTCAAGAGAGACATGATGCTAAGATATAACTGGTAACTGTTATATGATGGATTGTACATAACGGCACTGCAGGCTCCAAGGTAATACAGGAATTTGAGGAAATAAAGGAGCTTAAGTCATTATTTTCATGGAGAAAGTACTTCTCCTCCTATATAGGAATTTTAAATACATGATTAAAGAGCAAAAATAAGAAATGACTTGAGAAGTGAAAAACTGTATCGTTGTACACTCTCTGCCCAACACACATTCTCTGATTCAGAAATAAAACAGAACAATGGAGCTACAAAGTCTAAAGCTGATTCTATTTGCTAATATCTAAGCTGACAGCATGCCAGAGATCAAGCTCTGGAAAGTAAAGAGGCAATGAAACCCTTCTTTCATCTAAACATTACCAGGATTACACAGCTATTCCCTAGTGCTGGGGCCCTCCCTCTTCCTCACCACACCCCACCCCATGATGAATGCATATGTGGTTTACCCAAGCACACTTATACATAGGTAAGAAGCAGAGAAACTGCGTTCTGCTGACTTTTTTACTCTAATTTTGCCCCAGTAACAACAAGAAATGGTAAGTACTCCCCACTATTTCTCCATGAAGTTAATATACTAATTAAGTATTTCTGACTGTTGTTGTTGTTGTTATGTGCCTTCAAGTCACTTGCGACTCATAGCGATCCTATGTACTGCATCCCTAAACTCCGTGCTGTCCTGTACCAAATGCACTGTCTCCAATACACCCATCCCAATTACCCCAGTCACAGAATCAACCCACCTCACAGAGGGCCTTCTCCTGCTGTGCCATCCCTTCACCCTCCCAAGGATGCTGTCCCTCTCCAAGGACTGGTTCCTCCTTACAAGATGTCCAAAGTATGTCAGATGAAGCCTCAGGATCCTTCCCTCCAAGGAGCAGCCTTGTTTAACCCTCTCCAGGATGAATCTCTTTATTTTCCTAGCAGTCCATGGTACCCTCAATACTCTTCTTCAGCACCACAGCTCAAAGGCATCAGTTCTCCTTC